CATCATCCGAATTCTACTTTGCAAGTCTGGCTAGACCAGAGGAGGTACACAGGACCAGTGGTGTGATTGGCGATACTGACTGCTAGAAATACCTGGAGAAGCTACGTGGATATATTTATAGAGGTCCCTGCATGTTGAATTTGAGAGTCATGTAGATAGATACCATACACACCTTGTTCCCCTCAACCTGGAAATCCTCAGTGGAAACACACACGAGGGAAATATAATCTTGGTGGCTTAAAATGGAATACGAACATGATACTCCAAAGGACAGAAATGGTCACCACATGTAGCTACAAAGAAGGTGGCTCCCTGCATAAGGCTTCACCCACTCAAGTCCAGCCATTCAGTCACCGGTTCTTTGGGAACCAAGTATCTCGAGTGATATCACATATTTACACTTTCATACTTATCTGCTTGGCCTATAAGGCCCTCTTTTCTTCTATCACTGAATACTAAGCTATTAGTATTGCCTACTCCTTCAGCCTTCACCGCATCTGCACATTCTCTGTGACCCTTCCCATGAAATCATAAATGGCTCCTTTCCTTCCTTTTACTCTAGGCCAGACAATGAAATCTAATGATAATTCCCTTTCCTCCAGCCCATTAAATCAAAGCATATTTCCTCTATGCGATAGGCTTACCAAAAACAGGCTGGGAAAAAAAACCCAACCAACCTTATATTTTAGCTTAATAGCTATGCAATGTATCTTTCAGTCGTTTAAGATAAAATCAGTTTTTATGCACCGTATAATTGTACACAATTCAATTATGGCACTTGACAAAGCAATGCAAGCATGTAATCATATCTAAAGCTAAAAATGTACATATCGTGTATTTGATGAATAGATAACTGTTTTCATTTTCATTTGAACCACTTTGGCATCACAGTGACAATCTCAATGGAGACACATGGCATGTGAGTTACATTGATGACACCCCTGGGTTTTTGGTTGCACACAATTTTCTAAGCTAAGTTCATTTCATTTGTGGGTTTTCTTATTACTTAACTGCTGCTGTTTTAGTAGTTACTAAAATCTTAAGGATTTTCTTTTTCATTTTGATGATAAAGTTTATTAATTTTCATTGAGATTACCCTTTTACATATTAATCTCCTCCAAATCTTAAAAAAGTCTGTTTAATCTTGGAATCGACTTGATTTCATTTCCATTTAGATGTTCTGTAACTACACTATCCCCACCTTTTAGATTATGATTATTCTTTACACAGTTAAAAGGACGAGGAATGAAGAAAACTGGATGAGGGCTGGGGTGGCCTTCTGCTATTATTGCTCATAGAGCTCAAGTGCTGTGTCCTCTGTTCTAAGAGATGTGCTAGGAAGCCTTTGAGATGGGAGCAGAGCCCTGCTGGTGCTGTCGGGTTAGCATCGGGGCTGTTGACTGAAAGAAGTGGCTCACGGGCACAGGGGAGAAAGTGGAGGGTGTTCCTGGAAGGATTTATGGTCTGGGAAAACAACAGCGTCACTATGAGGCAGCATGAACTCACTGACCCTTTTTGCTTGCTTGCTTTTTAATATTCAGAAGAATGTCCCTAGGTGGTCCAAGCATGCTGCTTTTGACTACAAACCCACAGATGGGTATTTCAAACCCACCCAGCAGGAGTGTGGGGGAAAGGCTTGATGATCGGCTTCCATAAAGGTGACAGCATGACAAGGCTACTCAGTGTCACATGGGGTTTCCATGAGTCGAAATCAACTGGTCATCACCTAGTGACAGCAACAATGTCCAGTCTCATTTTGCTATAACTCTCATGACTCAGATTGCTTTATACACAGCAGTCTAGTTATTGATGTGCTTGCTTTCTCCCCTTTATAGGATGACAATATTGGAGGAAAGATCAGAATTCTGTGGTCTTTCTGCACTGTGTCTATGCAGCTGCTTGCAAATAAGAGGAGCAATAGTACGTGTTCGGTGAATTAAATTTAAAAAGACTAGAACAAAACTCAAATTATTTCCCCGATGTCTGCAACCATTTTATGCCTCACCAAATCGATTTACATGAGACACCAAATAATTCGCAATGTTTTCCCTCAGATCTGATTTATTTAGCAATCATACGTCACAGGAAATACAGAGAATTACAGCAGAATAAAGCACAAGAATTTTAGACTGTCATAGTAAAAATGAAATAAAAGAGATACGTGTTAAAGTAAAAGGCATCAGAAATGGCAAGGTGTCTCTGTTGGTCAGCTGAGGATAAAATTCCAAACAAGACAGTCAATGTGCAGGGTCCTCAGTCTCATCCCCTTTTCTTTCCAGCACAGACTCCACAGTGCTGCTGGAGGGGCGGGGGGTGGGGAGGGGGGCACAGGTGACAGCACGGACTCACTGCTTTCTTTGCTTCTGGGAGAGGCTCCAGGAGGTGGGACACAACAAGTCACCCAGAGGAGACAAAAAGGAAAAGAGAGAGACAGAGACAGAGAGAGAAAGGGAGCGAAGAAACAAGAAACGGGAGAGGAAAGACAAGCAGCAGAGAAAAGGAAAAAGCGAGCCAAGGGAGGAAATACAGGGTTTAAGGGCGTGAGGGAGCATAATGGAAGGAAGAGAGCCTGAGGGCAGCCCGACAGAGCTTCTGACGAAAGAGGAGGGCTGTCAGTCACAGTGCGTGATCAGTCACATAACCTGAACAGGAAGGGAAAAGCCCCCAGACAGAAATCGACACTTTCTTTTGTGTTCTGCGATTGTTTATTAAGGAAGTCTATAGATCTTAAAGCTTTAATAGGAACAAAGTGGGCATGTTTTCTATTAATCTGAGAAGCAATTTTTCAATGTACTTCTCCCTTGAAAACTCCTATAGCTTTACTGGCTCAATTAAGAACAATGGTAAAAAGACCTGATGCGAGTCTGATTCTATTCTAAATGCAGAATATTCTCTAGCTGGTAAATAGCTAGTTTTATTTTTTAAAAAAGAAAAGAAATGCAGTAGTTTTTCCATAAATAGAAATAAAAAGTCCATTTTAGAAGAACAAAAAGTTCACTGAAATATTACTATGCTGCACATATTTATACATTCCTCCCAACACATCACTTTAGATCCATCTTTACTTCTTATGTTACATGTAAAATATCAATTGTATTGTAATGTCTATGATACAATTAAATTACTTAGCTGTATTCTGCACAAGGTTCAGGTGAGACAAAAAGCACTAAATCTTATTCACAGAACATTTAGAAGCATGTCACACACCATCTATGCACAAATAGATCTTACATTACAATATCGCATAATAAATATGCATATAGAATATGGCTTACACATTAAAAGTGATCTGAGTGGTGAGTTATATAATCCCACGACTTAGATGTAAAAGCTTCTCGTTGTGTCCATTTCTAGAATATTGCTTAGCATCGTGGAACCCAAGAATGGAGCAAGCATCACAGAACCGTCATAAAGATGGACGCGCCCTCCTTCTCTTCATTCTTTCGTTCAGGGCGACCCTGGCTGCTTTATCCATTCAGTTCCAACCTCTCGCAAAGACGAATGCATTTGAGCTCACAATCATGGAAGTGTTTATACAGTGACAAGCTACAACATCCGATGGTGCTTGACCTTTCTTGGCAGCTGAAAACAGACAGAACGGTACTTTAAAGCTTGGAGCAAAGGAAAGGCCTCGCACGTGCTCGGGCAAATGTGACAAGGAAGCAAAGCCTGCACAGCAACGCAGTTTATTTCTTAGAGGAAAGCTGAAGAGTCATGTCATGTAAGGTTATCTCTACCGGAACACGTAGGCCTCCACTTTCATAGATGTTCGCACGCACGCACGCACGCACGCATACCCATATAAACACAAGTGCGCCCTTTGTCTCTGATTCCTTGATCTGAAATGCACTTTGCTAAAGCCTGGAAGAATGTTGACCCCGCAGATAAGTTCCGTTCTCAGTTCTACTATCCATCTCCACAACAGCCGCGGGTTCTTGCCACCTTACACTTCAGAGAGTGCTTGATTCGCAATGTCACAATGCTCATGTAGGGGGTGTCTCAGTGCTTTGAAATCACATGATGGTGAAAGGATGGTTCAGTGGTACCACGGAGAAGTTCTGTGTTATTTCTCAGCTCTTGAGTTGCCATGGGGTTTGCATCAGGTCACAGAGCCCGCGCAGTGATGTCCAATGTGGCCATGGGAGTACAGACAGAGCTTCTGAGTAGTCCCACCTTTAATTTTTGTCCTAGGTATTTAAAATGGTAAGAACACTCTAAATAGCTTAAGTTTCAGAGTTGAAAAAAAGTGTTCTCTGTACTTTTGGTTTTGTATTCTGTTTTTTAGACCTTGAAAAATTTGTAATTATAGCACTCTGTACAACAGCGCAAAAAAATAAGTAAATAAACACCGTATCTCTACATGTGACTGGAATCATAGCAATACAAATTTTTAGATTGTTCGGCTTGATTTACAATTTCTCTGGCTTGATTGAAGAAGACCAAATTGCAGAGAAAAAATAATGGCAGATGCATTGCCACAAAACTCTAATTACGACTTTGAGGGTCTTTAACTGGCCTGAATGATCAGTTTAGAAATGATGTTCTTCTTATTAATTCCTTCTAAATGAGTCCATTAAAATGGCCTGATCCAAGTATAGGTTGAAAAAGAGAATATAGACGGCTGGGAAGCTGAAGATTTAGGATGTTTTAGAGCTGTTCTCAATGTCCTGCAAGAAAAACCAAATGCACGTCATGCTTTACTCATGTTTAGACTTTGATGACTGAAAGAAAATTTCACATTGAACTTCATATACCTGGCCAAAAATAAAGGATTTATCAGCATATAACAGATATTTGTTTTACACCAGTTGGAATTTCTTCCTCTTATTTATTATATTATACTGTGTGTGTGTGAATGACTCTTCAAATTAGAAATCACAAAATCAGATAAAAAGCAAGTATGACACAAGTGGGGATACACGATGTGGGTCTCTGTAAGGGTAGAACGACTAGAGTTGAGGACCTGTAGTGAACAAAAGAGCATAAACCCTAGATTAGGATACAGAAGTCAAAGATTTTCCCTTGGTGTGGAGGCTCACAAAGAAGATATATGGAATTAAGTTCTTAAACCACCAGTTTTTGACATCTTATGTGCTGAACACTAATGAGATGGCATTGAAATTGGAATGAATTTACTTCCAATGAGAAACAGGTCTGATATTGTATTTGCTTTTTAACATACTAGAAATCTCGGACATGCGTTTTGGTAGAGATAATATAGTAAGCAGCGTGCCCTCTTTTAAACAACAAACTAACATAGGGTTGTATATTCTAACTCCAGATCCAGTTTTGCTAATTAACACACACAAAAGAAACATGGTAAACAAAACAATAGTTTGTGGATTCAAATTACTTAGAAATGCTGATGAAATTAGAGACAGCTTGAAAAGTAAAATTCTTGTAGGGCTTCCTGCACATCTCGACACATGTTCCCTGATGGTGGCCAGCCAAAGAAGAAGCTAATGGTTAGAAAAAGGTTACGGTGAATTTGTGAACCAGGAGCAAATCCAAGCCCCAGATATACTTGGTCTGGTCCTTACAATGTTTCAAAATCTTTTAGCCAACATTAAAAGTGGAGGTAACTTACATGAAAATAGTTTAACCAATCAGAATATCTGGAATACAGAACCCATGAAATTGTCAGGGTGGGAGAGTGGATGGCTGGCTGCAGCATGCAGGTTCTCTGTCTCTCTGTCTGTCTCCCTGTCTGTCTGTCTCTCTCTCTCCTTTCCAAGGTTCATGACTCTATCAGTACACAAATACCATATCTAAGTCACAATTGCCAATTTTTACCTCTTTTGCACTATACATTGTCTCATTATCTGCTGAATTAGCATTCCTTAACATATACCTAATTACACCCTGGTGATTCAACACTGAATTGCTTGGCTGTTAAGTGCAAGCTTGGTGGTTTGAATCGATCCAGGAACTCTAGGGGAGAAAGACCTATAAAGTGATCTCCTGTAAAGATTTCAGCTGGCTTTGAAAAATTGTATTTGCAGTTCACCTGGGATCACTATAATTTGAAACCAACTCAACAGCACATAACAGAAAACAACATACATTTTAGGATCCCCGAGGGCTGAATAGTCAAGTGCTACCAAAAAGGTAGGCAGTTCAAACCCACTCAGAGGCTCCACAAGAGAGACAAACCTGGTGACCTGCTTCCAGAAAGCTTACAACCTACCTAGAAAACCCTATGGGGCGGTCCCTCTCTGCACACATGGGATCATCAGATGTTGAAATCAACTGGAAGGGATTTTAACTAACTAACTAACTAACTAACTAACTAACTAACTAACTAACTAACTAACTAACTGCAATATACTCTCTGGATTCCCTGGATGGTATTGTTAAGTGCTCAACTACTAATTGAAAGGTGGATGGGCAGAAGTTCAGGTCGGATTCAGAAGAGTACATGGAGACAAGTGGGATACACTGAGGATAAAACACCTGTGTACATAGAAAGAATTCACCAAGCGAGTAGTAAGAGAGTGCACAGATTGGGAATACATCTTTAGCAATGACATATCAGACAAAGGCCTTATTACTAAAATCTACAGTACTTTGCAAGCTTACAATAAGAAAAAAACTAACTGCCCACTGAGGAGGTGGGCAAAGGACCTGAACAGAAGTTTCACACGGGCAGAAATCCGAATGGCCAATAACATATGAGAAAATGTTCCCGATTATTAGCCATAAGAGAACAACTATGAGATACCACCTAACACCCTCAAAGAGAGCCCAATTCAAAAAATCAGAAAACAACAAGTGTTGGAGGGGCTGTGAGATAGGAACTCTCATCCACTGCTGGTGGACCTGTAGGTATGGCTAGCCATTATGGAAATCTATTTGGTGATTTCTAAAACAGATGGAAATTGAGCTACCATACAACCCAGCAATCCCCCTACTGGGCATATACTCAGAAGAGGCAAGCAACAAACCAAGTCCAGACATCTGTGCTCCAGTGTTCATTGCGGCACAGTTCACAATTGTAAGGAGTTGGAAACAACCCAAATTTCCATCAACAGACAAATGGATTAAAAAACTGTGGTACAGACATACAATGGAGTACTACGTATCCCTAAAAAGCAGTGATGGATGCATGAAGCACATCGCTGCGTGGGAAGAACTGGAGGAAATCATGCAAAGCAAAGTAAGCCAAGCACAAAATGACAAGTACAACATGAGTCCACTGAAGTAAGCTTAAAAAATGGGACACAGGGGAAAAGCTACTATAGCATACATTCCTGGGGTGAGGTCCAGGTACTATGTCAGAGACCAAACCAAATCTAGGGATACATATGGCAGCCAACTAAATAAGAGGGGGAAAGAAAGAGAAAAAAAACAAAACGACATGGGTAGGTGGGGAGCAGGGCACTAACCCACTCACGGGGAGGGTATTATTTATATCTCCTCAGGAGACGGAGAGAGAACCAGACTTCACCCTGATGTGCCAAGATGTGAATACAACATACCGGCCTGCACCAGGGAACCAACAGAGAGGTCTGCAGTGCCGGCCCCAATCCCAACTATGTGGACACCCCCCCCCCCTTCAGAAGGATGCACTTCAGAGGGCAGCATTGGGGCTACAGCTTGGGGAGAGGGGCATGTCTGATTAGAGCACACAGGAGAAACAAAGAGGTATGGAGAGTGACCAAGCCCCAAGGACGATATTCCTGCTCAGAAAAGACAATACACACAGAGGACCATAGGGCCGGCCCCACCATGAGCCCCGGCATCCCTCACTGATCCATAGCGCTGCAGAGGGCAACACTGGACACACAATGTGGGAATTGTGCCCAATCTGACTCCATCACACTGGGGCTAAACACAAAGGGCATGCAACAGAGCAGCAAGGGGAGCAAAGTGATGAAGTCCCTGGGGAATACCAAAAAATAGACTTTGGAGACAGAGTGAGGCACCCCATCAGACTTTACTGGAAAATACTTGTAAAGGCCAACAAACAGACCTTGAACTATTTATAGGCTTTTCCATTTTGGTCACTGGCTTTCTTGTTGTTCTTACTGTTTTGTTGGTTTTGACTTCCTTTGTTGTTTTGTTTGGCTTTGCCTGTTTTTTGCACTTATTAATGTCTCTGCATGTCTATATAGATAAGATAGGCGGGATAAACAATTCGGAGATGAGAGTTATGGGACTGATGATTCTGGGGGATACAGGTGAAGGGGAGGTGGGAGAAAGGAAGGGGCAAGGGAACAACACATAGACTAAAATCAATGGACAGAAGGGCATATGATCCTGAGTGGGGCTTAATTAAAGGCAATGTAGCAGTGAGGAATTGCTAAACCAGAATGAAGGCTGAACATGATGATGGGACAAGAGGGAAGTAAAAGGAAATAGAAGAAATAACATGCAAAGGGAATTTATAGAGGTCTAAATTCAGGCATGTACATATGTAAATATATATATATATATATATATAAAATGAGAGGGGAATATGTACTTATGTTAAGAATGTACTTATATCTAAATGTTAAGGATTAAGGTAGCAGATGGACATTGAGCCTTGACTCAAGTACTCCCTCAACACGAGAACACTTTATTCTAATAATTCGGCATTCTGTGATGCTCACCTTCCCGACATGATCACTGAAGACAAAATGGGTGCATAAGCAAATGTGGTGAAGCAAGCTAATGGTGCCGGGCTGGCTATCAAAAGATATAGCATCTGGGGTCTTAAAGCCTTGAAGACAAACAAGTGGCCATCTAGCTGAGAAGCAACAAAGCCCACAAGGAAGAAGCACACCAGCCTGTGTGATCATGAGGTGTCAGCTGGATCAGGTATCAGGCATCTAAGACACAGAACAAAATCATACCCAATGTGAATTGGGGGCAGGAGGGGCATGGAGTGGAGACCCAAAGACCATCTGTAGACAACTGGATAGCCCCTAACAGAAGGGTCACAGGGAAGAGATAAGCCAGTCAGGGTGCAGTATAGCACTGATGGAACACACAACTTTCCTCTAGTTCTTTGGTGCTTCCTTCCCCCCACTATCATGACCTCAATTCTACCTTACAAATTGGATTAGGCCAGAGCATGCACACTGCTACAGATAAGAGCCTGCAACACAGGGAATCCAGGATAGATAAACCCCTCAGGGCCAACAATGAGAATAGAGATACCAGGAGGACAAAGGGAAGGTGAGGGGAGAAAGGGGGAATCGATCACAAGGATTGACATATAACCCCCTCCCAGGATGATGAACACCAGAAAAGTGGGTGAAGGGCAACAGAGGATGATATAAGACATGAAAATTATAACTTATCAAGGGTTCATGGGGGAGCGAGGGGGAAACAAGGAGCTGATATTAAGGGCTCAAGTAGAAGGAAAATGCTTTGAAAATGATGTCTTGGGAGAAGTGCAGCCAGAATACTCCATAGTGACTAGGATGGTGAGACTTTGTCTCACTTACTTTGGACATATACCCAGAAAAGACCAGTCTTCGGAGAATGGAATCGTGCTTGCTAAAGTGGAGGGGCAGCAAAAGAAAAAAACCTTCGACAAGATGGATTGACACAGTGGTTGCAATAATAGGCTAGAAGATAAGAACAATCTTGAGGATGGTGCAGGACTGGGCAGTGTTATTCTGTTCTTCACAGGGTTGCTATGAGATGGAACGGACTTAATGGTATATATCAGCGACAAAGGCATGGGTAAGTGTGTTGGACTCTTAACCATGAGGTTGGCTATTCAAACCCACCAGTTTCTCTGTGGCTGAAAATGGAGGCTAGCTGCTCCCATAAAGATCGACAGCCTTGAAAACTGCATAGAGGAGTGCTATGCATCAGAATTGACTTAATGGAAATGGAGTAGAACAGCGGTTCTCAACCTGTGGGTTCTGAACCATTTGGGGGTCACACGACCCTTTCACAGGGGTCACCTAAGATCATCGGAAAACACATACATATTTCACAATATATAATTACATATTGTTTTGTGATTAATCACTGTGATTAATCAACATGCCTTAATTGTTCAATTTGTAACAATGAAAATACATCCTGCATATCAGATATTTGCATTATGATTCATAACAGTAGAAAAATTACAGTCATGAAGTAGCAGTGAGAGTAATTTTATGGTTGGGGGTCACCACAACATGAGGAATTGTATTAAAGGGTCCCGGCATTAGGAAGGCTGAGAACCACTGGGTGAGAACTAAGAAAGGTCTGGTGATGTGCTTCTAGAAGGCATTTGAAACGCCCAGAGGTTACTGTTCTATTCTACAGCAGCTAGGACTGTCATGAGTTGGAATCAACCCAATGGCAACCGGTGGTGGTAGCACATGGGGACTCTGTTATATATTCGCAAAGCCCTGGCAGCATAGTGGTTCTATGTTGGGTTGCTACCCTCAAGGTCAGCAGTACAAGAACACCAGCTGTACTATGGTCAGACAATGAAACTTTCTACTTCCATAGAGTTACAGTCTCATACAAGTTTCTATGAGTTAGAATCTACTTGGTCGCAGTGAGTTTTTAAGTTGAGTCCAACCTATTCAGGACTTGAGTACTCTTCTCCAACAACCATGGCTCCTAAAGATAATCAAGTGACAGCTCGGTTGGAAGGTGTGAAGAGGAGTCACTATAGCTAAGAGGAATCAAGTGTAAGAGATTCAAGTTGTTAATTATCCACAAACTTATTTCCTGAAGTCTTTTACAGCTTGGTTTCTCTTTGAGTTTCAGATGGAGACTAAGACTCACAATCAGTAGCTTGAGCAGTGTTGAGAGGGCTAAGTGAGATGACATGTGTCAGATGTTCTACAAAGCGTCTGACAATTGATAATTGCTATTAATGAACCCATTATTATAAATGTAACAGAAAGTCAAACCACCAACTCAAAAATATGAGCAATGTATAATCTGGAAAGGTAATCACATTTAAAATCTTTTTTATCTAAAGCAGGAGTCCTGGTTTCATAGTGGTTAGTGTTGAGCTGCTAATGTCAAGATCAGCAGTTCTATGGTAACCAGCAATTCTGTAGAAAGATGCGACTTTTAAAGCCCATTTGTAGGCCATGGGAGATCCCCTGGCAGAGGGGTCTCGGGGAGGAGACGAGCCAGACAGGGTGCAATGTAGCAATGATGAAAAAGATAACTTTCCTCTAGTTCCTAAATGCTTCCTCCCCCACTATCATGATCCCAATTCTACCTTGCAAGTCTGACTAGACCAGAGAATGTACACTGGTACATATAGGAACTGGAAACACAGGGAATCCAGGGTGGATGATCCCTTCAGGACCAGTGGTGTGAGTGGCGATACAGTGAGGGTAGAGGAACAGTGGGTTGTAAAGAGGGAACCGATTACAAGGAACTATATGTGATCTCCTCCTTGGGGGACAGACAACAGAAAAGTGGGTAAAGGGAGACATCAGACAGTACAAGATATGACAAAATAACAATTTATAAATTATCAAGGGCTCATGAAGGGGGGAGCGGGGAGGGAGGGGGAGAAACGAGGACCTAATGCCGGGGGCTTAAGTGGAGAGCAAATGTTTTGAGGACAATGAGGACAATGAATGTACAAATGTGCTTTACACAATTGATGTATGTTTGGATTGTGATAAGAGTGGTATGAGCCCCTAATTAAATGATTAAAAAAAAGATGGGACTTTCTACTTGCATCAAGAGTGACAGTCTTGTGGGGTCGTTCTATGTCGTCATCGACTCAATGGCAATCAGTGTTTGAGCTATCTAAAGCAACACCTAAGAAACCAATGGTTATCTCTAGAAGTCTTGGGAGGGTAATCTCAGCATATTTTTGCTATAATTTCCACCCCTACCTCCACAACAGGACTCCGTGCTTGGGGCTTGTTTCTTCCTTCTGCTAGGGGATACTAGATGTACCTACTGTGCATACACATTCTTCACTTCTAACTTCCTGAACCTCTTCTGTAGACGGACATCATGGTTCTTTATTTTAGTAGGCAGAAATATCAGTAAGCTAATTTAAAATCTTATTTCCAAGATATCACTTCCAAAGTAGATAATTTGATAGCGCAAACCCCACTGCTACTGAGATGGCGCTGACTCAAAGCAAACCTACGTAGAATTTCCTCTGAGGGACCGGATAGCCTCAACTTTCTTCTGCAGAGTAATTGGTGGGTTTGAACTTGCGGCTTTGAGGTCAGCCGGCCAGTGCTTAGTCAATAAGATCACGAGGGTAACTTTGAGAAAGCACACCCAAGAAAACAAACTCACTGCCATGTAGTCCATTCCGATTCACAGTGACTCCACGGGTCACGGGAGGTAGAACTTCCCCTGTGGGTTTCTGAGACTGTAACTGCTGATGGGAGTAGAGAGCCTCATCTCTCTACCGTAGTGGCTGGTGGTTTCCATCTGCTGACCTTGAGGTAGCAGCCCAAAGTGTAACCCACTGCGCCACCAGGGAGCCTGAGATAGAGTAAAGCGGTCCTGAAAACTGAAGCTCTTCTAAGAGAACCGTGGAGGTAACTTCCCACAGCTTGTGGTGCACACTGACGTTTGTTTCAAGTGTTCCTGCTGCGTAGTTCTTACCAGTGTAAAATAGCCATGTTTCCTGTGTGAAGTGGGACATAAAATGAGGAGTAAACCTCCATAGAGAAAATAGCTTATTATTTTTCAAAACTAAAGCATATTAATAGGTATAATTTTTAATAGATGAGCAAATTAAGAACTTTAGAAAAGTTTAAATATTTGTCAACCTGTTAGTATTTTGCTCTGAAAGATAGAACATGATCATTAAAAAAATTTGATTCGGGAGGGCATTTAAGTAAGATAATTTTACCTGTAATGATATTCTACAGAGCATTATTTTAGAAATTAGTTTTCTTGTATAAAAATTAAATTACCTCTCATGTTTAAAATGACAGGAGCCAATAGGATCCTTCGAGTCTATGGGTGTGTCTCAGTGCGCTTTTCTCCGGCATGTATTAAGTCTTCTGAATTCTTGCGAGGAAGATCAGGTTCACCTAAAAAAATAAAATAAAATAAACCATTTCAATCAAGTCAGGAGACTGGAGTAATTTGTTAAAAGTGTGGAAGATTGAATTTCATGATGGATTTTGTGGGCGATTTCTCTCAAAGTTACCAGGCATTTACTTTTTCGGTTGTGGATTTTCAGAAAAAATTAAGTCATATTATGGGGGTTATATAGCCCATGGAAGTTACCATTTATTCTGGGAATATAGAAATGAAACAGATGAGAGATGTTTCAGCATTGATCAAATCCCATGTAAAAACTGTATATGCATTTTCTGAATATTTAAAAAATGGAAACAAATTTTTTGGGCAAGTCTTTTAAACTAGTCTTTTCACACACATGAGCCAGATGTCGGGAAATTAGAACAAAAGGCTATGAGAATAGTGTGGTGATCAGCTTGTAGGCCAGCTTGATGGTACCTGTGTAGAGGTAAGGGGGAAGTCCAATCTGTTAATCAGGTGGTAGCTTGGTGGTGCCTCCCTGGGGGTGTGACTTATTTTTTTTAAATAAACCATTTTATCTGGGGCTTTTACAGCTCTTATTACAATCCATCAGCAATTGTATCAAGCACATTTGTACCTATGTTGCCATCATCATTTTCAAAACATTTTCTTTGAGCCCTTGGTATCAGCTTCTCTCTTTTCCCTCCTTCCCCCACCCTCCCGTCCTCATGAACCGTTGCTAAATTATAAATTATTATTATTTCCATATCTTACACTGTTCGCTGTCTCCCTCTACCCATATTTCTGTTGTTTGTCCCCTTGGGGTTGGGGGTTGGGGATAAGAGAGAGACTGGGAAATCCTCTCTCTCTGACCCTTCCCCTTCATCCTTTTTGGGACTTCACGTGCCGTGCCATGTGGACCAACTGACCCTGGGAGCCAACACCTGAACTATCCATGCTGATGTTCTATTGACCTGCGCTCCATGCAACTGTGCACCCACTGGCCCAAGACAGCCCCTTCCTGCTGCACCTTCCTGTGCTATCAGCCTGCAGCTGTGTGAGGCTGAAGAGGCCTTGACTGGCATTGGACCCATAGACTGGACTTGCACTGGGCAGGGATGCCTTCTTGTTATAAAGTTGCTTCTTTTTTAAACCTTAAAAATTTTTAAAAATCATTTTTATTGGGGGCTCTTACAGCTCTTATGACATTCCATACATCAATTGTATCAAGCATATCTGTACATATGTTGCCATCATCATTTTTTAAACACTACTTTCTATTTAAGTCCTTGGTATCGGCTCCTCTATTTTCCCCTTCTTCTCGTGACCCTTGATAAATTATAAATTATTATTCATTTCATATCTTACACTGACGGCTGTCTCCATTCACCCACATTTCTGTTGTTCATCCCCATGATGGGGGGGGGGGCAGAAATTATGCTCGATCGTTGCGATTGTTTCCCCAGTCCTCCCCTCCTCCCCCACACCTTCTCCCTACCCTCCTGGTATTGCTACTCCCATTTCTGTTCCTGATGGGTTTATGTGATCTGGATTCTCTGTGTTGTGAGCTCTTATCTGTACCACTGTACATGCTCCAGTCTATCCAGGACTGAAAGGCAGGACTGGGGTCATGATAGTGGGAGGTGAGGAAGCCTCAAAGAACCAGAGTAATATTGTGTGTTTCATTGGTGCTATACCCTGGTGGACTCATCCCTTCCTTGTGACCCTTCTGTGAGGGGATGTCCTAGTGTCTACAGATGGGATTTGGGTTTCTGCTCCAACTCCTCTTGGTCGCAACAATATGTTTTGTTTGGGGTCTTCTGGTGCCTGTTACCAGATCCTGTCAACACCTCATGATCTCACAGGTTGGTGTGCTTCTTCCATGTGGCTTGTTGCTTCTGTGCTAGATGGCCGCTTGTTTAACTTCAAGCCTTTAAGACCCCAGATGCTCTATTGTTTGATAACAGGGCACCATCCACTTTCGTCACATTTGCTTATGCACTCATATTTTCTTCAGCAATCGTGTTGGGAAGGTGAGCATCACAGAATGCCAGGTTGTTAGAATGAAGTGTTCTTGCGTTGGGGGAAGGCTTGAGAAGAAGCCCAAAGTCCATCAACTTTCTCAATGTATTGCCATATAAATATACAGTGAACCCTCGTTTATCGCGGTTAATCGGTTCTAGACCCTACCATGATAAATGAAATTCCGCAAAGTAGGATTCCTTATTTGTAAATCAAATATTTTTGTAGTTAGAGCATAGAGGACATGAAAAAACACCCTTTAGTCACCATTACACTTGTATTACCCAATTTATTAAACGAAAAAGGGAAAATACAGTAAAACATTTTGGACGTTACAATTATCTTTTATTATTTATTATATTATTTATGGCATCAAGCGTGTACAGTATGAGCCAATCAGTGGCAGTAATGACAGAGCATGCGTTGTTACGCAAAAACCGCGATAGAGTGAAGCCGCGGAAGTCGAAGCGAAGTGGCGAGGGTCACTGTATGTACATAGGCCAATACCTGTATTTCTATGAATTAATATATTTACATAAGTGCACACCTTTGTTTATACCCTTATCCATAGCTTTGCTTCCTAGATCTTTCCTCTGCTTCCTTTTACTTTCCTTCTGCCCCACCATCACACTCGCCCTTCTACCTTTTAGTAATTCCTCTCAGTTAGATTGCTGTTGCACCAGCACCACCAGAATCTCTAAGTCTTCCTCATTGTTGCTTTTAATTCCCTAGCTGTTGCCCCGTCTATGGTGGTCTTGGCTCCCGCTCCTTTCCCCTGCCTCCTCTCTTGCTGTTTCATTTGGGGGAGAAGTGTCTTAAGTGGCAGAATTCTCAAATGAAAGTATTTAGCTACAGGTTATATTTTCAGTCTCTAAAATGAACAGTCATATCAACTATTCTAAATCAGGCAATTCCATTCCTACACTAACTCGGGCTAAAACCTGAATGCTATTTGAAAGGTATTTGGAAGCTATCTTGATGGGCCAGTTAAGAATAACAATGTGAAAGAAGAGTCAAGATAAACTCGCCATAAAGTGATTTACTCAACTGATTAACTGAGTTGACCCAGTGCATATTTACCATGAGACACATATACTCTCACATGAAAATCAGGATGGGCAGGTTGTATATTTCCATAGTACTTCTTTAAGGAAGCCTTTTCTAAGATCTCCATAAAGACTGGAAACACATACCAGAATGAGCCCAGGAGAGTAATAATTGTTATTATTATAGAAAATGATTATGAACTAATTTATTACTCACATGGTTCTGTGAGATAGATATCTGTGACTTGTTTTTATCATATCCATTTTACAAATAATAAAACAAACAAAAATTAAATGCCTTACTCAATGGTCATATAGCTAATAAGTAATGGAATCAGAATTGACATATGATACTATACTTTAATATCCATGATTTTATTTGGTCTTTTCCCAGTATTCGTATATTTCTTATATTTGAAATGAAATCTCATAGTAAATTAAAGTTTTTTTCTCAAGACACAACCAGAAAATGAGAATTATTATATTTCTCAGTGATAATAAAAATTTCAATATTAGATACCAGCCAGTGTAAACTAACTAATTATTGACTATGACTATTCCGATTGTTTGTCAATGTGGCTTTCATGTTGCTACGATGTTGGAAATTATGTTACCAGTATTTCAAATACCGACAGGAGTACTCAAGTCCACCGTTTCAGCTGAGTTTCCAGACTACAAACCACTGTGAGGAAGGAATGGGCTGACCACCTCTGAGGGATCGGCCACTGACAGGCGCGTCTATACCAAGTGGGGATCCCTGTCAGATATACTGGAAACCTGAAGAACAGCAGCAGGGTATTGTCCGTTATAAATCTGGAAAATCAGACCCTCATATCACAAACAAACAACAACAACAACACACCACTGCCATCGAGTCGGTTCCTATTCAGAGCAGCCTTACAGGCCGTGGTAGAACTCTCCCGGTTGGTTTCTGAGACTTTAACTCTGTTGGGGGTAGAAAGCCTCACCCTTCTCTCACGTAGCAGCTGGTGGTTTCGAACGGTGAGCTGCGTGGTTAGTAGGCCAATGTGTAACCTTTAACATCTGACTGGGAAAGACCGGCCTTCTCAAAGTAGAGTTGACCATAAGAAAGGGGATGTAGTAAAGCTTCCAGGACCTTCATTTTGTGAAAGTCATGATTCAAAATGAGAACAAACCACTGCAAACATCCATTAATAATCAGAAAGTAGAATGTACACAATATGAATTTAAGAAAATTAAAATTCATCAAAATGAAATACAACACATAAAGATCAATTTCTCAGGCATTCATGAACTGGAAGGAATTGGATTCACCATTTTAAAACAGGCAATCATGGTTTGCACTGTCAGGAATGACAAATTCAAGAGGAATTGCATTGATTTCATTGTCTTAAAAGATATTTCAAGTTCTATCTTGAAGCACATAGCAGTCAGTGATAGGATCATATCTCTCTATATGCAAGGAAATCCAGTCAGTAAAAATATTATTTAAATGTACAGACCAACCACTAAACCTAGTGATGAAGAAATTGAAGAATTCCGTGAACTTCTTCAGTCTGAAACATGCAATCAAGATGCTTTGATAATTATTGGTGATTGGATTGTAAAAATTGGAAACAAAGATGAAGGATCCATAGTTGGAAAATATGGCCTTGGTGATAGAAAGAAAGCTAGGGATCTCATGGTAGAATTTTAAAAGACCAACTATTTCTTCATTGAAAATACTCCCCCCCCCCCAAAAAAAAAACATTAATGACTACAATATATGTGGACTCCACCAGATGGAATACACAAGAATCAAGCTACCTCAGTGGGAAGAGATGATGGAGCAGCTCATTGTCAGCAGCCAAAATGAGGTTAGGGGCTCACTGTGGAACAGACCAGTAATTGCTCATATGTAAGCTCAGTCTGAAGTTGAAGAAAATTAAAATAAGTCCACAAGAAACAAAATATAACCTTGAGTATTTCCCACATACATTTTAACAGCATTTCAAGCG